ATAATATTTAGCGGGTAAAATATACCATATCTTTTTTGTTGAAAAAATTCAAAATTTTTCATTAAACCGCGAATATTTTAAATCCCGGCGAAATCACAAAGCCATGACAAGGTTACTTCTGATCTTTGCATTGATGTTAACATACAACAAATCGGATATATAGCAAAATATGTGCGATATATATGTCTATCAAAGAAGATATGCTTGAAAGATCTCTTATATGTCGAGAACGGCTGAACTGATTTCGACATTTCTCATTAATTCAGAATGGCCTCTTGGCAGGAAAGAAAAAACGTCTAAAAAAATCGCATAAAAATATCTCTCTAAAGATGAAAATATTGATTTTATAAAATTTTCTCATATTTTTTCAATTTTGTCATATTTTTGGCATATTTTCATTTTGAATTAAACATTTGGTAATATTTCTACAGCTAACAAAACTAAGTAGTTAAGATATCAGGATATCATGTACAGATCGCATTTATGGCCCGATCCTTACGAAATTTTGCATGGTGATAAGATGAGGGTCAGAATAGAAGCCTACTCTTTTTGGAGATGATCGCCATATATTTAGGGGTTGAAATGGACCAAAAAACTGCAAAATTGTCAGCAGGTCGTAATTATCGCCCGATCCTCAGGCACATTTGAATGGCCATCCAAAAATATTCAATGTGTGAAATAGTTTGCCAACTTTTGTAGACAAAGTACGAAAATGTCCATTACGGTGACTTTTTTGGAAATCTCAAATACAGGAAAGACTCACTTCTGACTATTTCGTTAACGCTGATTTCGTTAAAGAATATAGTCAAATGTCTGTATCTCATATAGATGCGTTTCAGTCAAAAACCAATAATAAATGTTAATCTTTTGCCACTTTTGGAAGATTATAGGTTTTTGGGTAATATTAGTTCCGGATCTAGGAAGCCATTTAAGTGCAACATCTACCAATAAATTATAAATGAGCAAATTAGTTTAAGTTGCTATTATTCAAAACTTAGAGAACGAAACCTGATGGTTTTCTTTTATTATTTGTCACAATATCTTGTGGAATTCTTTCGAGTATCTCGCCTATATAAACTTTATCGTTTATTGTAGTGTTGTAGGGTATTCAACGGTCGGCCCCGCTCGACTGTAGCCTTTGCTTACTTGTTAGCTACTATTTTTGATCAGTTTTCTAAAGAGGAAAAATAGCATACTTTAAAATGGCCATAACTCCTTAAATATTGACATTTCGGGATTTTTAGCTATTATTTGTGATCACTTTTCTAAAATAAAAAAAGCATACTTTGAGATGGCCATAACTCCTTAAATATTGTCATTTCGGGGTTTTTAGCTATTATTTGTGATCACTTTTTTAAAGAGGAAAAATAGCATACTTTAAAATGGCCATACTCCTTAAATATTGACATTTCGGGGTTTTTAGCTATTATTTGTGATCACTTTTTTAAAGAGGAAAAATAGCATACTTTAAAATGGCCATAACTCCTTAAATATTGACATTTCGGGGTTTTTAGCTATTATTTGTGATCACATTTTAAAGTGTGGAAAAATAGCACACTTTAAAATGGCCATAACTCCTTAAATACTGATATTTCGGGGTTTTTAGCTATTATTTGTGATCACTTTTTTAAAGAGGAAAAATAGCATACTTTAAAATGGCCATAACTCCTTAAATATTGACATTTCGAGGTTTTTAGCTATTATTTGTGATCACTTTTCTAAAGAGGAAAAATAGCATACTTTGAAATGGCCACAACTCCTTAAATATTGACATTTCGGGGTTTTTAGCTATTATTTGTGATCACTTTTTTAAAGTGTGGAAAAATAGCACACTTTAAAATGGCCATAACTCCTTAAATACTGATATTTCGGGGTTTTTAGCTATTATTTGTGATCACTTTTTTTAAAGAGGAAAAATAGCATACTTTAAAATGGCTATAACTCCTTAAATATTGATATTTCGGGGTTTTTAGCTATTATTTGTAATCACTTTTCTAAATAGGAAAAATAGCACACTTTAAAATGGCCATAACTCCTTAAATATTGACATTTCGGGGTTTTAGCTACTATTTGTGATCACTTTTTTAAAGAGGAAAAATAGCATACTATAAAATGGCCACAACTCCTTAAATATTGACATTTCGGGGTTTTTAGCTATTATTTGTAATCACTTTTCTAAATAGGAAAAATAGCATACTTTAAAATGGCCATAACTCCTTAAATATTGACATTTCGGGGTTTTTAGCAACTATTTTTGATCAGTTTTGTAAAGAGGAAAGTAGCATACTTTAAAATGGCCATAACTCCTTAAATATTGACATATCGGGGTTTTTTAGCTACTATTTGTGGTCACTTTTTTAACAGGAAAAATGGCATACTTTAAAATGGCCATAACTCCTTAAATATTGACATTTCGGGGTTTTAAGCCATTATTTGTGATCACTTTTTTAAAGAGGAAAAATAGCATACTTTAAAATGGCCATAACTCCCTAAATATTGACATTTCGGGGTTTTAAGCCATTATTTGTGATCACTTTTTTAAAGAGGAAAAATAGCATACTTTAAAATGGCCATAACTCCTTACATATATAGACATTTCGGGGTTTTTAGCAACTATTTGTGATCACTTTTTTAAAGAGGAAAAATAGCATACTTTAAAATGGCCATAACTCCTTAAATATTGACATATCGGGGTTTTTTAGCTATTATTTGTGATTGCTTTTTTAAAGAGGAAAAAAGCATACTTTAAAATGGCCATAACTCCTTAACTATTGACATTTCGGGGTTTTTAGCTACTATTTGTGATCACTTTTTTAAAGAGGAGAAATAGCATACTTTAAAATGGCCATAACTCCTTAAATATTGACATTTCGGGGTTTTTAGCTACTATTTGAGATCACTTTTTTAAAGAGGAAAAATAGCATACTATAAAATGGCCATAACTCCTTAAATATTGACATTTCGGGGTTTTTAGCTACTATTTGTGATCGCTTTTCTAAAGAGGAAAAATAACATACTTTAAAATGGACACAACTCCTTAAATATTGATATTTCGGGGCTTTTAGCTATTATTTGTGATTGCTTTTTTAAAGAGGAAAAAAGCATACTTTAAAATGGCCATAACTCCTTAAATATTGACATTTCGGGGTTTTTAGCTACTATTTGTGATCACTTTTTTAAAGAGGAAAAATAGCATACTTTAAAATGGCCATAACTCCTTAACTATTGACATTTCGGGGTTTTAGCTACTATTTGTGATCACTTTTTTAAAGAGGAGAAATAGCATACTTTAAAATGGCCATAACTCCTTAAATATTGACATTTCGGGGTTTTTAGCTATTATTTGTGATCACTTTTCTAAAGAGGAAAAATAGCATACTATAAAATGGCCACAACTCCTTAAATATTGACATTTCGGGGTTTTTAGCTGTTATTTGTGATCACTTTTTTAAAGAGGAAAAATAGCATACTTTAAAATGGCCATAACTCCTTAAATATTGACATTGCGGGGTTTTTAGCTACTATTTTTGATCAGTTTTCTAAAGAGGAAAAATAGCATACTTTGAAATGGCCACAACTCCTTAAATATTGACATTTCGGGGTTTTTAGCTATTATTTGTGATCAATTTTCTAAAGAGGAAAAATAGCATACTTTAAAATGGCCATTACTCCTTAAATATTGACATTTCGGGGTTTTTAGCTACTATTTGTGATCACTTTTCTAAAGAGGAAAAATAGCATACTATAAAATGGCCACAACTCCTTAAATATTGACATTTCGGGGTTTTTAGCTATTATTTGTGATCACTTTTCTAAAGAGGAAAAATAGCATACTTTAAAATGGCCATAACTCCTTAAATATTGATATTTCGGGGTTTTTAGCTACTATTTTTGATCAGTTTTCTAAAGAGGAAAAATAGCATACTTTGAAATGGCCACAACTCCTTAAATATTGACATTTCGGGGTTTTTAGCTATTATTTGTGATCAATTTTCTAAAGAGGAAAAATAGCATACTTTAAAATGGCCATAACTCCTTAAATATTGATATTTCGGGGCTTTTAGCTATTATTTGTGATCAGTTTTCTAAAGAGGAAAAGTAGCATACTTTAAAATGGCCATATCTCCTTAAATATTGACATTTCGGGGTTTTTAGACATTATTTGTGATCATTTTTTTAAAGAGGAAAAATAGAATACTCTAAAATGGCCATAACTCCTTAAATATTGACATTTCGGGGTTTTTAGCTATTATTTGTGATCACTTTTTTAAAGAGGAAAAATAGCATACTCTAAAATGGCCATAACCCCTTAAATATTGACATTTCGGGGTTTTTAGCTATTATTTGTGATCACTTTTCTAAAGAGGCAAAATAGCATACTTTAAAACAAGTAAGCAAAGGCTACAGTCGAGCGGGGCCGACCGTTGAATACCCTACAACACTACAATAAACGATAAAGTTTATATAGGCGAGATACTCGAAAGAATTCCACAAGATATTGTGACAAATAATAAAAGAAAACCATCAGGTTTCGTTCTCTAATTTTCGAATAATAGCAACTTAAACTAATTTGCTCATTTATAATTTATTGGTAGATGTTGCACTTAAATGGCTTCCTAGATCCGGAACTAATATTACCCAAAAACCTATAATCTTCCAAAAGTGGCAAAAGATTAACATTTACAGCCTGTTCCACGATATCGAAAGAACACGTTCGCACAACTTTTACACGACAAACAGCTGATTTCCGTTCCACTAAAATCCATCAGAACGAAAATTTGCACGAAAATCAAAGCGAACGTAAACGTAAGCATTTCAGTGTAATTTTGCGTTCCACTATCTTTTTTCTTTCGTTCGCATGCGAACACAAATGTCAAAATCAGTCACTTGTGTCTTTGCTGTCGTATGATAACAATTAAGGAAAATTGTTTTAACATAAGCATTGCTTGATTGAAAATGGAAACAAAAATGTAAGTAAAAATAATAAATGCAATTTAAAATGTGAACAACAAATATATTTTTTTTATTTCCTAAATGCCAGCACGAAAAAATCAACTACACAGCTGCGGGCACTAGTTGAGTATATGTAGGAGAATCCTGAGTTCGCCAGAGGAGTGCCAATTTTTGGAAGCAGCATCATATCCATCATATCCAAAAGAGCCCGAAAAACTTCCTTCGACACACGAAAATTGGCCACAAACCTAGTAAAAATCATTGGTTATTATTTCAAAAATGTAAAAATACAATCATACTTACTGGTTGTTAGGTACTTCAAATAAATTCGAAGAATCTCTTAAATGCCTCCGTGGCACATTTTGAACCTCCTCCTCATCATCCATAAAAAATAGGGCTACAGAAATATTCATTTTTTTCTTTTTTAAGAACACAAATAATTTGAACACAATCACTAAAAATTTTGTTTTGTTTGTTTATTTACAATTTGTTTGAACTGTCAGTTGAGACACAGCCACTGCTGCTTTTTCGCGTTTAAATTAGACATTTGGCGCTTTTTTTTTTGCTTTATTTTGCGATTAATTTTGCCAAAAAATATTTAGCAACACTGAATCACGTAAGGCTATGCGAAAGAAAGAACGAAAGTTAGTGGAACGCATTCTTATACGAAAGTGAGTGAGTAGCCTTCGTTCGCACAAATTTTCTTTCGAGATCGTGGAACAGGCTGTTATTATTGGTTTTTGACTGAAACGCATCTATATGAGATACAGACATTTGACTATATTCTTTAACGAAATCAGCGTTAACGAAATAGTCAGAAGTGAGTCTTTCCTGTATTTGAGATTTCCAAAAAAGTCACCGTAATGGACATTTTCGTACTTTGTCTACAAAAGTTGGCAAACTATTTCACACATTGAATATTTTTGGATGGCCATTCAAATGTGCCTGAGGATCGGGCGATAATTACGACCTGCTGACAATTTTGCAGTTTTTTGGTCCATTTCAACCCCTAAATATATGGCGATCATCTCCAAAAAGAGTAGGCTTCTATTCTGACCCTCATCTTATCACCATGCAAAATTTCGTAAGGATCGGGCCATAAATGCGATCTGTACATGATATCCTGATATCTTAACTACTTAGTTTTGTTAGCTGTAGAAATATTACCAAATGTTTAATTCAAAATGAAAATATGCCAAAAATATGACAAAATTGAAAAAATATGAGAAAATTTTATAAAATCAATATTTTCATCTTTAGAGAGATATTTTTATGCGATTTTTTTAGACGTTTTTTCTTTCCTGCCAAGAGGCCATTCTGAATTAATGCGAAATGTCGAAATCAGTTCAGCCGTTCTCGACATATAAGAGATCTTTCAAGCATATCTTCTTTGATAGACATATATATCGCACATATTTTGCTATATATCCGATTTGTTGTATGTTAACATCAATGCAAAGATCAGAAGTAACCTTGTCATGGCTTTGTGATTTCGCCGGGATTTAAAATATTCGCGGTTTAATGAAAAATTTTGAATTTTTTCAACAAAAAAGATATGGTATATTTTACCCGCTAAATATTATCCGATGACCACCCAAATTGGTAGGCTTCTTCCCCGCCCTAAACTCTAGCTACATGCGAAATTCCGCGTCGATTGGTCTATAATTGCGACCTGTATACTGCAAAATCCGACATTTTTTCAGTATTTGGTCCATTTCAACCCCTAAACATTTGGCGATCATCTCCAAAAGAAATAGGGTTCTATTCTGACCCTAGCCCCACCTCCATTCTAAATTTCGTGAAGATCGGACCATAATTACGACCTGTAGAGTGATTACAAATTAACATGGACAGACGGACAGACGGACAGACGGACAGACGGACGGACGGACATACATAGCTAGATCGACTCAGCTCGGCGAGCTAGGAAGATCCATATATACTTTCCTATATGGGAAACCAATATTTCGAGGTGTTACATAAATTCTGGCCCAATCAAACTTATAATACCCCCAACACATAGTGTTGTAGGGTATAAATAGCATACTTTAAAATGGCCATAACTCCTTAAATATTGACATTTCAGGGTTTTTAGCTATTATTTGTGATCACTTTTTTAAAGTGTGGAAAAATAGCACACTTTAAAATGGCCATAACTCCTTAAATATTGATATTTCGGGGTTTTTAGCTATTATTTGTGATCACTTTTTTAAAGAGGAAAAATAGCATACTTTAAAATGGCCATAACTCCTTAAATATTGACATTTCGGGGTTTTTAGCCATTATTTGTGATCACTTTTTTAAAGAGGAAAAATCGCATGCTTTAAAATGGCCATAACTCCTTAAATATTGACATTTCGGGGTTTTTAGCTATTATTTGTGATCACTTTTTTAAAGAGGAAAAATAGCATACTTTAAAATGGCCATAACTCCTTAGATATTGACATTTCGGGGTTTTTAGCTAATATTTGTGATCAATTTTCTAAACAGGAAAAATAGCATAAAATGGCCATAACTCCTTAAATATTGACCTTTCGGGGGTTTTTAGCCATTATTTGTGATCACTTCTTTAAAGAGGAAAAATAGCATACTTTAAAATGGCCATAACTCCTTAAATATTGACATTTCGAGGTTTTTAGCTACTATTTGTGATCACTTTTTTAAAGAGGAAAAATAGCATACTTTAAAATGGCCATAACTCCTTAAATATTGATATTTCGGGGTTTTTAGCTACTATTTGTGATCACTTTTTAAAGTGTGGAAAAATAGCACACTTTAAAATGGCCATAACTCCTTAAATATTGATATTTCGGGGTTTTTGGCTATTATTTGTGATCACTTTTTTAAAGAGGAAAAATAGCATACTTTAAAATGGCCATAACTCCTTAAATATTGACTTTTCGGGGTTTTTAGCTATTATTTGTGATCACTTTTTTAAAGTGTGGAAAAATAGCACACTTTAAAATGGCCATAACTCTTTAAATATTGATATTTCGGGGTTTTTAGCTATTACTTGTGATCACTTTTTTAAAGAGGAAAAATAGCATACTTTAAAATGGCCATAACTCCTAAAATATTGACATTTCGGGGTTTTTAGCTACTATTTGTGATCACTTTTTTAAAGTGTGGAAAAATAGCACACTTTAAAATGGCCATAACTCTTTAAATATTGATATTTCGGGGTTTTTAGCTATTACTTGTGATCACTTTTTTAAAGAGGAAAAATAGCATACTTTAAAATGGCCATAACTCCTAAAATATTGACATTTCGGGGTTTTTAGCTACTATTTGTGATCACTTTTTTAAAGAGGAAAAATGGCATACTTTAAAATGGCCATAACTCCTTAAATATTGACATTTCGGGGTTTTTAGCTATTATTTGTTATCACTTTTTTAAAGTGTGGAAAAATAGCACACTTTAAAATGGCCATAACTCCTTAAATATTGATATTTCGGGGTTTTTGGCTATTATTTGTGATCACTAAAGAGGAAAAATAGCATACTTTAAAATGGCCATAACTCCTTAAATATTGACATTTCGGGGTTTTTAGCCATTATTTGTGATCACTTCTTTAAAGAGGAAAAATGACATACATAAAATGGCCATAACTCCTTAAATATTGACATTTCGGAGTTTTTAGCCATTATTTGTGATCGCTTTTTTAAAGAGGAAAAATAGCATACTTTAAAATGGCCATAACTCCTTAAATATTGACATTTCGGGGTTTATAGCTACTATTTGTGATCACTTTTTTAAAGAGGAAAAATGGCATATTTACAATGGCCATAACTCCTTAAATATTGACATTTCGGGGTTTTTAGCTATTATTTGTGATCACTTTTTTAAAGTGTGGAAAAATAGCGCACTTTAAAATGGCCATAACTCCTTAAATATTGACATTTCGGGGTTTTTAGCTATTATTTGTGATCACTTTTTTAAAGAGGAAAAATAGCATACTTTAAAATGGCCATAACTCCTTAAATATTTACATTTCGGGGTTTTTAGCCATTATTTTTGTCTACTTTTTTAAAGAGGAAAAATAGCATACTTTAAAATGGCCATAACTCCTTAAATATTGACATTTCGGGGTTTTTAGCTATTATTTTTGATCAATTTTCTAAAGAGGAAAAATAGCATACTATAAAATGGCCATAACTTCTTAAATATTGACATTTCGGGGTTTTTAGCCATTATTTTTGTCTACTTTTTTAAAGAGGAAAAATAGCATACTTTAAAATGGCCATAACTCCTTAAATATTGACATTTCGGGGTTTTTAGCTATTATTTGTGATCACTTTTCTAAAGAGGAAAAATAGCATACTATAAAATGGCCACAACTCTTTAAATATTGACATTTCGGGGTTTTTAGCTATTATTTGTGATCAATTTTCTAAAGAGGAAAATAGCATACTTTAAAATTGCCATAACTCCTTAAATATTGAAATTTCGGGGTTTTTAGCTATTATATGTGATCACTTTTTCAAAGAGGAAAAATAGCATACTTTAAAATGGCCATAACTCCTTAAATATTGACATTTCGGGGTTTTAAGCTATTATTTGTGATCACTTTTCTAAAGAGGAAAAATAGCATACTTTAAAATGGCCACAACTCCTTAAATATTGACATTTCGGTGTTTTTAGCTATTATTTGTGATCAATTTTTTAAAGAGGAAAAATATCATACTTTAAAATGGCCATAACTCCTTAAATATTGACATTTCGGGGTTTTTAGCTACTATTTTTGATCAGTTTTCTAAAGAGGAAAATAGCATACTTTAAAATGGCCATAACTCCTTAAATAATGACATTTCGGGGTTTTTAGCTATTATATGTGATCACTTTTTGAAGAGGAAAAATAGCATACTTTAAAATGGCCATAACTCCTTAAATATTGACATTTCGGGGTTTTTAGCTATTATTTGTGATCACTTTTCTAAAGAGGAAAAATAGCATACTTTAAAATGGCCACAACTCCTTAAATATTGACATTTCGGTGTTTTTAGCTATTATTTGTGATCAATTTTCTAAAGAGGAAAAATAGCATACTTTAAAATGGCCATAACTCCTTAAATATTGACATTTCGGGGTTTTTAGCTACTATTTGTGATCAATTTTCTAAAGAGGAAAAATAGCATAAAATGGCCATAACTCCTTAAATATTGACCTTTCGGGGGTTTTTAGCCATTATTTGTGATCACTTCTTTAAAGAGGAAAAATAGCATACTTTAAAATGGCCATAACTCCTTAAATATTGACATTTCGAGGTTTTTAGCTACTATTTGTGATCACTTTTTTAAAGAGGAAAAATAGCATACTTTAAAATGGCCATAACTCCTTAAATATTGATATTTCGGGGTTTTTAGCTACTATTTGTGATCACTTTTTTAAAGTGTGGAAAAATAGCACACTTTAAAATGGCCATAACTCCTTAAATATTGACTTTTCGGGGTTTTTAGCTATTACTTGTGATCACTTTTTTAAAGAGGAAAAATAGCATACTTTAAAATGGCCATAACTCCTAAAATATTGACATTTCGGGGTTTTTAGCTACTATCTGTGATCACTTTTTTAAAGAGGAAAAATGGCATACTTTAAAATGGCCATAACTCCTTAAATATTGACATTTCGGGGTTTTTAGCTATTATTTGTTATCACTTTTTTAAAGTGTGGAAAAATAGCACACTTTAAAATGGCCATAACTCCTAAAATATTGACATTTCGGGGTTTTTAG